TAAACTTTCCCGCAGCTAAGCGGTATTTCATGGATGACATTAGTGACAAAGTCAGTATATTGGCTTACATGCTTCTTGTAACACAAAACTTTATTTTTTTCTAGTCATCATCGGACATATGTTAACCAGTTTGCAGGCCGCAGAAAATACAATGCTAACGTTGTATCTGCCAACAATCTTTTTTCATGCTGTGTGAAACACTGCGCATGTACGGAATGACATGTACTTCTTTTTTATCTTTTCTTGTGATACTCCCGTTGTGTTGATTCTTTTGTTTGATTTGTTTTTGAAGCCGGCTTTTACAGACACTAGATACCTGCCATGAAGGGAACCCATGCATTCCGTAGCTGTTTTATCTGTATATCAAAGCTAGTAGACATTTGGTGATTACAACTTTTTGCGAATACTGCCTGAAGGCAGGTTATAGCCATTCCCCGCTTAATGAGCTTAGATTGAGCACTGTCAAACGAGACTAGGCTTTTAACTGACCGCGGTTTATGCATCCAACAAAAATGCTCTCTAGAAAAATTGATTATAAGGTCATCATAATACGCCTCGCAAGTGGGCTCATTTTCGTCTTCTGCGCATGAGAAAGGAAGTAGCGGTGACGTCAGAACGCCGAGCCCTTATTGGCTGATCGCGACCCCCTATCTCAGCGTCGTCTGCTCCTTTGCAACGTCGTCTGCTCGCAACATCGTCTGCGTCTGTCTTACCTTTCGTGCGACTTTCGGAAGTGCAGGTCTTTGCGAGCGAGCTCGACTTCGTCTTTCAGAGACGGCAGACGAAATAACTCGAGCGGTACGTTGTTTTGGTCTAACAACTAGCAGACGCGCATCAAGAAGGGAAGTCAAAGGACTCACTGGCGAGGTGTCCCGAGGCGCCGAGGTTTGTTTGCTAAGAACCGAGAGTGGAGGGTGGCTACTGTCCGCAAGTTCCCTCCCAAATACTTTTTCCCTCCTTTCGCGTGCGGCCAGACCCCTCATTCTTTAACGGCGTCGGCGGGTTGGCGCAGTTAACGTCGTCTGCTTTACGTCTGCTAGTCAAAGCGATGGCTGCTTTACCTTCCTGCGTCTGTCGGAGATTCACCGCTTTTTCACCGGCGAGAGTCACCGTTGCCTCGGAAAACAAGGAGAGGAAAAGAGGAATAGATTGGCCTCATAATCTATAATTGAGGTCAGCGATCAAAGTATAATACGGGAAGAGTTCACAAGGGTCGCGCGGGCATATTCCATTCAGCACACCAGCCGGTCGTGGGCAGACGGTCGCCGAGTCGTGGAGTGCCTGCTAGGCCTAACTGCCGTGCTCGCTTGGTCGCGTTCGGCGGAATCTTGGCCGTTGGAGCTTTTCCCGGGTATTTGTGGATCCAGCGTTCTTGTTCGCCGTGGTCTGTTTCAAGTACATTTTACTTTTTTTCTTGCTGCTTGGAGTCGGGACGCGTGAGAAGCGTACGTAGAAAAATAAACGTCCGTGGGTCGTCGCGACCGCGACGCTGTCGGCCATGCTGATTTGATCGTAAGAAGTGCTAAGACAGCTTCGGAGCTGTCATAGAATTTCGTCGTAACCTGCGCAAAACTTAAGAAAATTTCGTTTCGTGAATACGAATTTGTTCTTAAGTTATGTCTTACGCACATTTTTGGCGTAAGATCGTATCGTGAATCTGGCCTGTGCACTTCCGAAAGTCGCAGAAAAGGTAAGACAGACGCAGACGACGTTGCGAGCAGACGACGTTGCAAAGGAGCAGACGACGCTCAGATAGGGGGGTCGTGATCAGCCAATCAGGGCTCGGCGTTCTGACGTCACCGCTACCCCCTGCGCAAGAAGCAGACGAACTTGCCCTCCGCATATCATTGTTTAGCAGAACGTCTGGTCTGTTCAGTCAGACACCTACGTTCACGGCGCCCTTCATCAGATAATTTCAAGCGCGAGATGTGTACACTTCAAATTAGAAACCTGAAGATCTTCCAAAACCTGCCAACATTCTCCTACTCTCCCATTTCGCTTCCTCGCCTTCCTCTCCTCCTCACTCCATCCCTGGTCACATGGCCTCCCCATTAATCAATCAGCGTCAAGCACCTAACTTCACTCCCACCCGTCAACCAATCAGTGTCGAGCCTCGCGGCCATGCTTTTACCCAGGCTTCGCTTTTGGGCTTCACGAAGTTCCGAACACCTAGCCACAGAACGCTTCACGGTAAAAGGCAATGTATATTTCCGGCGACCAAAAAGAATTGTACAGAGTGTGTCCACCCCCCCCCCCCCCAAAAAAAAAAGAATATATAAATAAATCGCAAATAATAAATCAAATTAAAGCGATATATTCACCGCAAAAATAAACAACACATTGCCGTACACTCATCCTCCGCACAAGTAGCGCTAGCGGTCCGAACTAAAGTCACCATATCCTGGGAGCTCTCAGTATGGTTGCCATTTTGGTTTATGGAATGAGAACATTTTCGTCGCCCTCTCTATCACTAGTCCTGATGGGCTTATCTAAATTCGCTGGCCTCAGGCAGCTTTATCGGGACGTTTTTTTTTTTTTTGTTCTTTTTTTTTTTTTTTTGTATACCGGGATTTTGTTATCCGCACACCCGCGAGACAAGCGCACGTCTTTGCACCGTAATAAGATGGGACGTCGGTGCTTGGCGAAATTAAAACAAAAAGTAAATTTCCTGTTTTGAAATACGCAAGAACAACGATACCGTAGTGAAAGATCTGCGCAGATAAGCATGATTGATAAGTTGGTTGCATGCAAACTGCTAAAGACGCTTATATTGGCGAGGAACACTTTCAGTACGATGGTGCTCCATGGTGATCTTCGCGCGACTGGTTCAGAACGACCCTTTTGATGATTTGAAGATTGAAATGGACCAAAATGGCGGTCGCCATGGACACTGAGACCGATCAGCGAATCGCCTACCGAGGTTTTGTCGTCTGTATGTATACGTTTGTGTCCAGGCAGCAGGCAAGAAAGGCAACGGCGCTACTTACGCAGGATCCAGTGTCTTCAGTACGAACCAGATGCCGAATTTCCGGAACTAACCGCCATGTTATTCAAAATTTAGAAGTAATTTTCTGAAATTTTCTATAGGCAACTGGTGTGGCCGACGGAGCTTTCGAATGCCTGGAGCCGAATGGCGTCAGTTATCGAAAGCGGGCCTCGTTTTTCAATGAATTGTTTCAGATATTCATTTACAACTTTTGATTGAGACAACGTTCAGTTCTGAAGCCCTGTCATCTACTTCGGATCGCAAGAACAAGATTTGGGCAAAGGATAAGCGTTCGACAATGCGTAGTTTATTTTGAGAGTAAAAAAAACTGCAAAAATTCGGGACAGGCTGTATATGCGTCAGAATGAAAGTACAGCTCGGTGGTTTTCAGGATGATAGCTGGACATTTATCTATGAAAGTGATGGCGAATTCAGGCGGCCAATCGCCGATGAGCCCTTGCCGGAAGCACCGGCAGTCAAAAACGCGCCAGCGGCGCCCCACGTGGCCTTCACAACATAAATTCGAACTCCGAGATGTGTGTAAAAAACACAAGTGGCTTCAGAATATTTTTTCTCGAAATATTGACATAATCACAGTTCGCAGAGTTTACAGAATCTTAAATTACAAACTTAATGAGTGCGCAGATTAGAAAATTTGCGGTCCAGCCCGCACCCCATCAAATTTTAATATATATATATATTTTTATGTTTTGATGTTCGAAGAACTGTTGCCATTTTACTATGCTTCAAAAAAGGTCTACCAGCATCGCTATTCGCGTTTTTTTTATAGCGTTTCCATTTCCCGTTTCCGGCTTGAGCGGCGTCGCCGTCGCCGTCGGCGTAACCGCGATGTCACGTGACCTTCCCGTGGTCACGTGACCCTCCAGGTCAAGTGAATCCCCCAGGAATCACGTAACCCCCCCCCCCCCCCCCCCGAGTTCATGTGACCCCCCTGAGGCCACGTGACACCCGACACCCCTAAGGCCGCGTGACCCCCTAAAGTCACGTGATAACTCTGAGGTCACGTGACCCCCCCCCCCGGAGGTCACGTGACCCCCTACAGTCACGTGACTCCCTGACGTCACACGACCCCCCCTCAGGTCACGTGACCTCAAGGAGTCACCTATCTCTCAGTACGCTTCCATTTTCCTCCTCAAGAGCTGCGCTCTGACCGGCGTTACAGGGAATTGTAAACTGCTTTCATTTTTTATTACCTTCTTATGGAGTCGTGTCTTTTCATTGCGACCACCCCTTTGAAATTGTAGTGCGCCTTCAAGCGTCAAGCTGCAGCACTATCCATACATATTTATATACAGTGGTGTAATAACACGCCGTGTCCCAGAGCAAAGTAACCTTGTGCAAGCTGGACGAATTCTTCCAAAAAGTTCGGCTTCCTTTAACATTTTATCTAAATCTTCGTTGTTCTTGCTATATCTTTTCTCGGATCAATAGTGCGTGTTTGTCTCAATGGCTTCACTTTCTACTCGACCCAGCTATCGGCAAACATAGTAAATACTTTGGCTTAGTTTCCGGCTCGAACCCACCCTTGGTTCTCTTTCAGGATTAGGATATGACGACGCCGGGCACAGTCTGGCAGGCATGCTGCCCAACCTCCTGGATCTCGGGTAAAAATTATGCCCGAAACGTGCCCCCCCCCCCCCCCCCCCCCACGGCTTGCACTCGCCAGCCTTTGACCGAACGTCCTTGCAGAAAATATAGCAAAATAATTTGCTGGAAGATTACTACCTGAGTTCTACATGAGTTCGAAAAGAACCTTGAGGATACGAACGTTCCTTGAAACTGATTTTTGTCCTAGTCCGTAAGACGAGATCTAGAGATTAGCGAAAACACGCCATCAATTTGGTTCTTGAGGACAAAGAACACGCGGCCTGCCATCTTGGAGTAAACGGAACGCAACATTATGTCTCTGGAAATTAGCACGTAATCACTGACCAGGTCGAAAGCTCACGGGGCGGCAGCCAGGATACCTGAAGCACATTCGACTTCCACTAGGCTGCAGTTTTCTTAAGGTCATCAGTCTGTCACAAAGGAAGGCCGTTCATAAACCTGCGCATCATCTTATTGACAGCCTGTGTCTGGTCAAAACCAGCGTAGTGTCCGGCTCGTAGTATCGATGTAAACACCAAGTTCTGCGCCGCCGTCACGTAGCCCGACACTCCGTTCTTCTCTGAGACTGCAAACCAAGGGGTGTGGTTTGCTCGTCTGAACTGTTCAGCCCCGTCCCATTGCAGCGAACGGAAATATTTCTCGCTCTGCACCACTGCGAAGACAGGATCGAATTGTCCAAAGTACGCGAGGAGCCTGTAGTTTTTCAGGACGGTCAGCACCATATCCGTTATGTCTCGGAAATATTCCTTGGCGAGGTATAAGTTGATGAGTTCGCTCCTCTGGAACGTTGCGTTGAGGCCCACGTGGACCTGTATCTTGAACTCTTCACTGGCAACGTAGTCACGATACCTTTGGAACTCAGCTGGCTCCCGACTCTGAAGGACGTTCCCGTCGTACGTGTAGCCGGTTAGTTCCTCGAACAACGTTGGTGCAGAGCCGCCGCTTGAAACAAAGAGGGTCTGCAGCAGAAGTTGAATGGCTTGTAGTGGATTGCCTCCAATGACCAACTTCTGAATTTCGTCCAGTCTGGTTTGGTAGATACCTCTGCCGTTATGATCCATGAGACTTAATTGGTGGAAGTAGTCACTCATGTTTGTCATCAACAGCAGTGGTCCGAGGAAGCCAACACCACTGATGACGCCGCGTAGGTTAACAGGAAGATCGGGATTGTCATGCAGTCTTGCGGCAAGTCCCACGGCTGGCCGGGCTGAAAGGAATAAATAAACACGATACACTGGAGTTTGTGGATCATGCTAAATGCATGGCCCTTCGCCGCCCTGAGATGTGCGATAATTAGCAGCGAGTACGCGGTCAGATAGAGTTTAAAACCGGTTTATAAGTGAATGCCGTTTACTGCTTGCAAGTTCAAATATATACACATTCTAAATTGACTGAACCTACAGTAATTAATACTGATAATAGGGAAAGACCTAATTCTAGAAAACGACCGGAGTCGAAATGGGCATACCTATAGTGCGACACATATGAAGCGTAGAGAGTGGCTGCTCTATGTTCAGCGTTTAGAAAATGACGGACTTCCTTTTAATGAGTTAGGTTGAGAACGTTCCTCTTAAGAAAACCCGGCGGTGTCTTTCATTTGTCAACTACAGAAAGATAGGGAGGAGGAGGGGGGTAGGGTGACGCGTATAACGCCCCCATTGGTCAGAGGTGCTGACGACAGCAGGCGTCAACCTCTCCGCCCTCCTTTTCCCTCTTTACCAGTAGCTGACCAACTGAAATACACCGCCGGGTTTTCATCGAAACGACCCATTTGGTTTTCGAGAAAGTCACGCACACAGCTGGCGTGGAGCCAGAAAGAAGGAGGCGCCGCGCAGCACCCCCAAATGACAAAGCTGCAGAATAAGATCGCGTCTTTAGGAAAGGCGAACGTTGAATATAGACTGGACGCGACTGTCGCTTCAGCGCTCGGCTTCGACTCAAGTTTTAACTTTGAGCGGAACGTTGACGTAATCGTTGTGTCGAATCTGGGCCCAACGTTGGCCTTTTGTGATGACGCCATCTCATTCAGCACTAGTTTCCGTAGTATCGGTTCGTGGGCTGTGATCTGTATGGGCAGTTAAAACGATAGATGCCGTTCCCTCCACGAGTGATATGTATGCGGTTCCTTCCACGAGTGTGATTCTTTCTATAAGGGATATGGATGACCATATCCAAGAGCATCGACGTATTCTGGCAGGCAGAGAGAACACAAAAGGGGGGAAAAATTACAGGGCGAGCTATTGATGGATTTTTAGAGAATCCCTTAGCATGACCCTTGGAAACGCCATACACGTCCTCCTTCGGGAAACGCTAACGCTGACCCCAGAAAGGGGCCAAAAAGAGGCAGCAAAACATAGAGGAAGCAAAAGAAAAAAATGAAGGCGTTAGCGTTTCCCGAAGAGGGACGTGTGTGACTTTACCAAGGGGCATGCTAACGCATTTCTTAACAATCCACCAATGGATCTTCCTGTAATTTTTACAGTGGAGCTACTAAGGGCTAGTTTCCCCAGTCATGTCCGTGGACAAATAAATCTCGACAGAAAACTCTGGACAGCTACCGCAATCTATAAGCAACGGCGGCAACCAAATAACATGATTGCCGGTTGTCTGGTTGCCGCGGTCGCTCATAGACGGCGGCAACTTTTCAAGCCTCTCCACTCTGGTTTTCACCAAGGTGGAAAAGCTGAATTCCTCTAGACGTCGTCCTAGAAGTCGTCCTTGAGGTCGTCCAAGAAGTCGTCTTTGAGGTGGCCCCACTATAGTACAACTTCGCTGGTCTTCCTATTTCATCATATTTCAAAACATCGCAAAAAAGACGTGACACAAAGTAGAAGGACACAGGACATACGCTGACTAACATGACATACGCTGACTAAACTTTTCCCCAGAGTGGAAGGCTGAATGTTTTTTTTGTTTTTTTTTTGTATTACCTTATACTGAAACTTTCAAGTTAGAGCTTTTCTGTACTTCAACAACCTGTCGTTGTCTGTTCACAACGGAGATATGGGCCTGACCTTAAGATACTGGTTGGACGCTGTAGAGGAACAAAATGAGCGAGTGTAGTCGGATTGCAAACCTCACTATCTTTAACGTTTGTCAGGCATTACACTACCCTGAACTGATGGATGCCCATTTATACGAGAACGGGCCGAGGCACAAATTGAATTTGGAGGGTTGATTTGCTATGGAAATGTTTGCTCCACGTGTTGTGATTCCGCGATTGAGTTTGAAGACCGTAACTCTACACATGTATTGTAACAGACACTGATTAATCAACGTCAATAAATGCCCATTGTGTGTTTAGACAAGATTTGAGCTTCCCTTAAGTACTGTGGTAAAATTTTTGATATCCGGTAGATTTGAGAGGGTACGTGTCTGGGACATTATACTTCAAGGAAATTGTCTCACACTCTATCTCCATTAAATTTCCTAGTATCTTCCACTCATATGTGAAGCAAACGTTTTGTTAGGAACACCAGCAGAACCAATCTAAAACACAAATCGTAAGGAACAAAAAAAAAAAAACTAGTAGTCATCGACTTTACAGGTAGAAACTCCTACGTCCACTCAGCAACACTGTTAGCGCGAACAGGACATCGTAACCTTCGTCGTTTGAGTTGGAGGGGACATTCGCGGTCACCAGGCTTCATACCTTTTTTAAGTTAGTACCCCTAATAAGCAAGTTATATCACACAAGCAGTTTTGATGACAGCCTCCCTTTAAAGAGAGAAACAGATAAAACTGCCGATTTCCTGTTCGCGTTACGGTGTCGTGCCGCTCGCGATTTAGTCATGTTTTTCGATAACCGCCGTTGGCGTTTGCAGCTTGCTAACAAAAACCGATAAAGAAGGGAACACTGTAAATTCACTCGGCGTTCTGTGGAAGCTTTTTTTTTTCAATATTTCAACGGTTACATACCGAAAGAAGTAAACAGAAAACCGGAGCAACTTTACAGTATCGGTTATGAAGGGATAACATGGTTATTAAGAAAGACAGAGAGGTCAATGCTGGCCGCCTGCCTTAACAAACAATACTATAAACTACGCGCAACGTAATTCCGTGATCGTACTGTGAAGACATCATACAAAAGACAGTCTGCCGACTACTGGCTAAACCAAACAGGGAAGAAACCAAAAAGACAAGAAATAACACACAATTTTAGTATGAAGCTCAACAATGTCCAGTGAAGACGACAAACTAGTTGATTTGCCCTAAAAAAGAATGGAAGCTATCCCCCTCGGCCAGAAATCTCCTATAAAACACTTCATGCTTTTGCTCAAATATCGGAAGACACTGCAGCATGGCGAAACAGGATGCTCAACGCAAAGCACGCACTACCGAAAACACGTGCAGCTACATATTATCACAAAAGTTCAGAGTGCCGGTTCGATTGTGTAGTGCACGTAGCTGTAGAGTGTTTTTAGATGTGCCAGAAAAAATGCCTGGCATAACTTTGAAAATACTATGTTTTATTGTTAGGTTTTCAGGAGCATGCCCAGGTATATAGATTTTTTTTTTTTGGAGAGAGAACGGACAAGACTGAAGTCGGGTTTTGGTTCCCCTTCCACGTCATAAATTGAGCATTAGTAAAGCGGACGTTTAGTGATTCCAAGGGCTTACATAACATGGAATCCGCAAAGGTTTCCTTCCTAATGCAATGAAAATAAATTTCAGTAGATGCCAAGATAAACTACGTAGCAACGTTACTAGAACACTCAGTTGGGAAACTCGCCGTCGAAACTTGGGCCGCTGGTGTCCACCGAGACCGAGCCAAATACGACTACAGCGCCACTCGTTAACATTTGTCTCTACTGTGGTCACCTTGAGCTTTTAGAAAGCATGTTTTTGCGTAAAAACAAACGGAAAAGACTCTTTTTGTATGAAATTTATTGGAGTTTAGTACAAAATGATGGGAGCGTGATGTTTTTAAAATTTTTTAGTTTGCAAGGTTTAGGGGCACAATTAATATTGTTTTTATAAAACCATGCCTCAGCTGTGCTTTCAGGTAGCGCGTCCCGACCTAGGTGCTTTTTAACTTGAGTGGTGAGTCGCGACGCGTCCGCTGGGGAGACGGGGGTGGCACCCCTGTAACCTCCTCCGCTGTATCTGCTTCGGCGCCGAAATGGCCGATTAAAGCCAAAATAGAAGTAATGTGCAGTTCCTCGAGTGGCCGCTGCGGGAAAAATGGCGGCGTTGTGTTCGCCATTTGCTCGGTTTTGGAGAACAGATCGGGGCCACTTTTTCAGAGCAGTCTCTATGGCAGTTTCCCAACTGAGTGGTTCTAGTAACGTTACTACTCAGTAATGAGATGAGCTTGCCCAGATATGCGTATAATTTGACTGACGCAACAAATTAGACGGTACGATTACGACAGATCGGGAAACCAGCATCGAGCAAGATGCGCGCTTAATTGTCCAGCAGAAAAGCAGGAACGATTCCTCCTAAAGGTACAACGACCTTTTTAACGCATTTGTGGGTGTTGTACTTGTGAATGTTTATAGGGCACATTAAAAACTCGGTATTTTCATATCGTATTTTTTTTTAATATTTTGCGGTAGGCAAAGGGTTAAAGGTGTCACGAAACAATATCAGATTGGAATTTTGTGACTTTGAAGAGCAGTAGAGTTCCTTGTCTGGCCCAAGTATACTCGCACAGACCGCCACTGATTCAGAAACTTTGTCGCGGTGAAATTGCGAGGATAAAAGGGGACTTTCTTTCAGTCTTGCCTTCGTAAAGCTTGATGACGTAATTGTGGGAGCGAAACCACTCGCCTGACGACAGTCGAGTGCGGCTCATGTATTGAACATGAGAACTGCGTGAGCACTCGACTTCGGCTTATAACAATCAGTGCCTCGGTGGACACTCGGGTAGTGGCTCGTGTCCAACCACTGCCATGATGAGGAGAGCCTAGCTTAGAGCCACTAAATGAGCTGCGCTTAGAGTATCGGCACTCTGTTCCCCAACATTGTTGCGGGCGCCGACATTTTGGTGCTTGTGCAGAGTAGACACAACTGCCGATCGTCATGATTCAAAAGTGCGACTTCCTCAGCCTTAGATTCGGTGTTAGGAAGCTCATATAATATTGCTTTGCTCTGTTGCGAAGCGTTTAAAAATTTGTGGAGGACAGAAAAGCGTTTCCCGTGATTTCAGATAAATCTTCAGATAACTGGCAACCATGATTTTAAGCCGCAATATGGGCAAGTATCCTTACTCTGAAGCGTAGCTTAAGTGGCACTAGCCGAGCTCTAACAATGCCTGGAGCTCAGCACGCGTTTTCTACTTTGTCAACCCCAGAGCGTGGGTATAATTAACGTTGGTGGCATAGGATAGGCACCAGGCCACGTGGCCGCTTGTTCTGGCACCGACGTGAGACGATAAACGATGCTCATATTTCTCGAATTTGTTTGGCGGCCGCCATTACATAGAGAGAAAAACTATTCAAGTTTATTTAGTTAGCAACATTAAGAAGTGATTCGAAGTAGTATTTAGTGAAAGTTAAAAATCAATTCATGGTTCCCTTAACAAATGCAGGAAGTCACTGCACCATCACCACTCCACGCGTAGAGAGAAGCGCTGCCGACAGATGGCGTACGCCGCATTGAGGCAGTACCGGCCGATTTGGCTTCTTTGTGTGAGATCGTCTGGTGTGAACCCGAATCAGCCGGCGTTTCCTCGATGCGGCGTACGCCCGCTGTTGGCAGCACTTTTCTCTACGCGTGCATCATCTGCGAAGTGGCGGCGTCAAACGCCCGCAACAGGTATTTCTTCTTTTTTTTTTTTTTTTGTGGACGAGGTAAGTTATTTTTTTTTTCACGGTAATCTTCTACCACCCGCTAACACCTCGTAGTAAATGAAACGTCAAGAAACCGATCTTTGCGGGCCATCTTAAACACCTCGAAAGATTTTGTGTACATGCTGTAGTATATTATCTTAAATACGCTTATCTGTTATTTCACATAACACTATACTGCGTTTCACCTGAAGACGCTACAAGGGACAATCAACCAGCTTCAAAAGCGTACCCACGTGATGTTTCTCATGTTTCTGCACCGGTTCTTTTATCGCTTAACCAATCGTGTGCAAGAAAGGCCGACAGGCTTGCACTTTTCACGCTGTTTGATAGGCAACTTCGCCTTTTAGCGTCAGCTGCGTTCGGACTTAAGGCGAGACAAAGTATAGCTCGGACATGGCTTCCAATGTTTCCGCACCGGGAGGTTTGTTTAAAATCCGGTGGTCCTTTCGTTCGGTAGAGTATTCCTTTCGTAGCGACCTACCTCCGTACGACTCTCCGGCTACGTAGAATTCGGCGCCCTGGTATTCAGGAAACAACACCAGGAACTGTTGTAGGAACAGGTGGATGTACTCCACAAGGTCTTCGATGCTCTTGGCGTAACCTGCGGTGCTACCGGTGCGGCTGTATCCGGCACCCGCTGGCTGGTCCAAGTACACCACGTTGGCGAACTCTTGGATGGTGTCCATCCTCCGGAATATGTGGCCTTGAGAATCGATGCCAAGTGGTCCGTTCTCCATGAACTGTCCGAAGAGGGAGGAGCTGCCCGGGCCGCCCTGAAGCCAGAGGAGGAGCGGTGCTCCGGAGGTGTTTTTCTGCGAAGATAAAACGGTTGTCCTTCAAAAATCGTTCTTGAATTTAGTCGCTGACAGCTGAAGAAATACGCAGCGTGTCGAGTCCTGAGCATCTGACTATCGCTCCGCAGCTAATGAGATTGCAGCATCAGCCGATCAGAGCACCAAGGAAGCAATCGCGAAGCAAGAGGCATTAACATAATAAGCCCCGCCCCTCGTTTCTTAAAGGGGGCACTGACAGGTCAAAATCCTATATTTTTATTATCTGAAACGATTGAAAACGATGCCTGGGCATTGCCTTCAAAATTCGAAACTTGGGAACTATGTATTTGTGAAGAAAAAAAAACACAATTTCCAAATGCCGAATGTGAAGTTTTCGCGCTATCCGCGCCAGGGCACTGACGTCAAAGATTGAGTCGTCCTGCCACTCGTGTTTCTCTCACGCCTCCGACATGATAGAGGGCACCTTGCTTATCACCGATATCTCGCTAAGTATAACTTAGTAGAAACCCACCATGATATGCGAGACGATGAAAGTTGTAATGCCACCAAATACAATATAGACAGAGTTTTGCTCCGCTTCAGGAATATACATAATTTGAATGGATCTGACGCGTCCGATCGAGAAAGTAACACCGAGTTTTCAACCCACAGAAATAAACTACGCACTGAAGAAATCTGAAGCTCCATGAGTTGGTGATGCTAGCAGTTGTAATAGAACTCGGGAGTTTGAGATCACTTATTTTAATAAGAAAAGGTACACAAATCGTCTTTATTAGATGACGTCGTCTGAAACCTAATATTTATCATACAAACAAAGATTACATTATGAACACTTGTACATTTATTTCAGTGGAAACAAAATGTCAGCAAGGAAAAAAAACATATATTGTCTCGCTGGTAAATTTCTTTCACTGAAATATATGCTACGGACGCCCGCAATGTAATTTTTGGGTTAGGTGAATGTCATAGGCTTATAGTGGACATCAAGTCATAGAGAAATATTGTTTTCTTTTTGCTTCACTTTATTCACCTCAAGTCACGTAATGATAGTTTCGCATTTCATTATCACCGTTAGGGTCACATTCGCACGGTTTCAGCTTTCTTCGATGCGTGGTTAATTTATACAGGATCGATAATCGCGTTTCATTTCCTCGATCGGACCCGGTGTAAATTGTAATACTACAAAGGCATGCATCTCTTGAAAGAGCAGGCAAATATACCTTCGCTTTGAGGTGAAGGAAGAAGTAGTGACTTTCTAAAGTTTCGTTGACGGTGATGAGTCCCGCGTAGGCCTGAGTTCCCTCGTCTTGGACCCTGAACAAGTCCACGGCACTCATGTCTCGGGCTGCCTGAATCTCACCACGGGCGATGAGCGGGCTCAGGTAGAGAGGTCCGACGCCATCGTAGTTAACATGGCTGCTTCTGCAGAGATGAAAGTACCGAATTATACGGACGTTTACGGCCATCCATATTCGAGAACAACGTCCAAGAAGGATTATATTTTGATGCTGACTGTCGGGCGAGTCGATGCCGAATCTTGGAAGTCATGGTCGCGCTTTTAGACACGAACAAGACGGAATGACGAGACAACGCAATGCGGGTAATTTCATCCGTTGAAGTTAGCGCGTTGTGTTTTTTTGTTCTTCTATCTTTTCCGTGTTTATAAGCGCGACCGTGATTTCAAATATCAATGACCTACTTAATAAACACAAAACAATACGTATGCACCCGTACAACTCATATCGCATATTACCAAATAAAGGAACCATATCGGATGTTATATGCATTTTTTCTCAATGAGGAATGCACAAGCGAATTTGACGTTGGCCATGGTTGTCTACCGTACCTCCCCTGCCAAATGACATATAAATTGGATTGTTCCGTTTTATGTATTAAAAAATAATTAAATAGATGTGGCGCACAGCACCAACAACTTTTTCTGTGTTCTAAGTCTGCCAATACCTGTATAAGATAAGAGAGGTTGTCTCCGCCCACCTAACCATGAGACATCAGCTAATAAAACTAGTTAATTTTTATATTTTTATATGGATCTTTTGTATGAGATTGTGGCATATGATTCTTGTGGTACATATGTGTTTTTTTTTTTCATTAAAGCTAGGTTATTCTTCCTATTCGGAAAGCTGATAATCCCAGTTTTTTTTCTCACCCGGGGTTTCGCATGAGTGCGACATAAATGTATATAGTCATATCGTTTTATAAATTTACAGTCTTTGAGAAATTAATTACAAGACGAGAACATGCAAAAGAACGAGACAGCTACACAGACTTGTACGTAATCAGTTACAAGTAACGGAATTACTTGTAATTCCTTACATTTATCAGTAACTTTGTAAGGGAATATTTACATATTTCAGAAAGTAACTGCAAAGTAATTTCTTTACTTTTTTGAGTAAGGGAATGGTTGTAATCTGTTACATTTTACAGCAGAGCTGTAAAGGGCTTGTTTCCCCAGGATCGTGTCCGGTACCAAACAAGTGTCGACACCCGTGGTCGACACAACACTCTGGTTGCCGCCGTCGCTCATAGATGGCGGTAGCTGTCCAAAGTGTCTTTTTTGCCGGTTGTCTGCTTGCCGGCGTCGCTCATAGATCGCAGCAACCTTTTCAGCCTCGGCAACCAGACAACTGGTTGCTGCCGTCGCTCATAGATGGCGGTAGCTGTCCAGAGTGTCTTGTTTGCCGGTTGTCTGCCTGCCGCCGTCGCTCATGGATCGCAGCAACCTTTTCAGCCTCGGCAACCAGAGAACTGGTTGCTGCCGTCGCTCATAGATGGCGGTAGCTGTCCAGAGTGTTCTGCTTGCCAGTTGTCAGCTTGCCGCCGTCGCTCATAGATCGCAGCAACCTTTTCAGCCTCGGCAACCAGACAACTGGTTGCTGCCGTCACTCATAGATGGCGGTAGCTGTCCAGAGTGTTCTGTTTGCCGGTTGTCTGCTTGCCGCCGTCGCTCATAGATCGCAGCAATCTTTTCAGCCTCGGCAACCAGACAACTGGTTGCTGCCGTCACTCATAGATGGCGGAAACATTTATTCGGCGGAAGAAGAGCGGGAATGGAACGAGCGGCGATGGGCGCAGCAGCGCGAATGGTTCCGCAACCGCCGCGAGGCTGCTATCGTTTAAAGTTCCGCTGCGTCGAACGCTTCAGATTCCCATGTGAAAGAAGAGCAGATCGCACGCCTGGAAAGCCACCACCGAGAACAGAAGCTACAGCTACGCTGCTCTTCCTTCTTCACCAAAGTGAAAAGGCTGAAAGTGTTTTTGTTTGTTTTTTAATTCGCGGAGGAAAAGTGTGGTAACTTTAAATATAGAAAGAAAATCGTAATATATATATATATATATTTTTTTTTTGTTTGCTCTAAGGTAAGTTCTAGCGGAATCACACTGTCACCTGCATTTACTAAACGCAAGGACGGACATTCTTAAGATGCTCAAAGGCCTTTCACGTCACCTGAAACCTTGGTGAAGTTTTTTTTTTTTTTTGTTTTTTTTTGTAATTTGGTTGTTTGCAAATTGTAACTCGTCAGCTTGCTCGCCCACAACGAAGGGGGAAACACACTGATACAAAGAATCGGACTCTCCGTGCAAACAATATTAGGCAACCTCCCGAGTTCAAATTGTTTCCTTCCAACAAAGAACAAATACAAAAGAAAGTCAAAGTGCACGGGAGCTGGTGTGGCAGATCTCTGCGCAGTCTTTTCTTTTTTTCTCTTAGCTCTTTCTTTGCTTTCCTTTTGGCCGAAAGAGAAAGATAGCGGATGACTTCTTTGTATCAACATGAGGAACCAAGATAATCTACACTGGGGAGAAAAGCGAAGTTTGGTGGAGCTAGGGAGCCTTCATGTGCGAAGCGCACATGAAGGCACCCTAGGTGGAGCCGTAGTGGGACACAGCGTCTCAATGGGCCAACAGGATCTAGCTGCCGTTTTGGGTGTCGAGTGGAGGTCTTGCGAACGCGTTGTTTTCTAGCCACTCAGTCGCGCGTCCAGGTGGCAGTACCTATTTGGTAAAAAAAGTGGACGGAAAATATGTTTAGTGCAGGCGGACGACATCTTCACATAGAAACGAGATAATATGTCCAATGAGACTTTTGAGAGCTAGTGTTCGGAGCGCGCGTGTTACCCGATCCGGGCAGTCGGCGCTCAGGTGCGCACGCGGCGAACAATGCACGGGCCGATTAGACACGGAATTCGGTTCTGGCGGTTGGAGAACTGACGGGGTATTATATTTACTGTCGGACGTTTATTGGACAGGTGTATACCACGTGATTTTCTTCTGTTATAAAATTATTGGTCGGTCCTGGCCAGAAGGAGAGGAGGACCTTTCCTACAAAGGCCCGTGTCGGGCGAGAGAAGGACGATTTTGGCGTATGAGCTGGGCGCGCACGCAGACTTGGAGGCGCGCAGCAATGATGCCGGGTCCCTGACTTTTTGTAACGAACGTACAGAGTCAGTAATTATTCGAACTAATAAACACCTTGGAAAACGTCAACCATCTAACGGCTCCTGGAATTGGCGGCACCAACAGAAAACGCCGAGGACCATCATCATCATGGAAGCACGAAGAACAAAGAACCAAAAGAAAAACTTTTACTGGCTCTTTCTGGGCGGAAAGAAAACAAAGTTCGAGACGGAAATTATGTTCTGGGTAGTTGGACTATTATAGGCCAAAGTTCGAGACGCAAATTTTGTTTTGGGTAGTTGGACTATTATAGGTCATGTTCAAAAAAAAAACTTAGTGTGCATAAATACCCTGTCAGTGTCCCTTTAAAGGCCGACGTACAGCCTCGATTTCCTGCAGGGAAGGTAGTCCTCTTGGCGGTCCCCTCTCTTAAAAGGGCAATGAAATCGATCCTGAGACCGTCCTTTTGTGGTGACAACTCAATCTAATGATGCAAATAATCCTTGGAGAAGGAGAACAAGAGGTACAAAGGACAAAGACAAATCTCCAAACACAGCTAGGTGACGGCTGCGCGACCGAAAAAATCCGCGTGGTCCGGGTAAGTTTGACCATAGCCTCCTCTATGGAGGCTATGGTCAAACACATGCCGGAGCCAGCCCCCCTCCCCCCCCCTCCCCCCCCCCCCCCCGCCCCGCCCCCCCCCCCCCCCCCCCCCCCCCCCGTCGTCCGACTCTTCGGTGTGGCCAAACCTGTCGTGCACGACGGTCCTTGCGACAGGTCGCACGGCCGGTTGGAGCACATGCCGATGCGCACTGCCCTCTAAATTACCGGCCCATATCATTAACTTCTGTATGATGTAAGCTCATGGAACATGGCGTTCATTCTCAAGTTATGCAATTTCTGGAACAGAATAAATCCTTTTTCCCCAATCAACATGGCTTTAGGAAACACCGTTCATGCGAAACGCAGCTGGCAGCTTTCTGTCACGATATTCATTCTTCTCTAGAAAAGTGTCACCAAGTTGATGCCATTTTTCTTGATTTTTCTAAAGCTTTTGATCGCGTTTCCCATAAACTTCTACTAGCAAAGCTGTCCACACTGTCTCTTGACTCTTCAATTCTAGCTAGCTGGATCGAAGGCTTTCTCACCTCTCGAAGCCAGCATGTGCAAATTAACAACTGTCGTTCCCGAAGCGCTCTTGTAACCTCCGGTATACCGCAAGGATCTGCTCTTGGACCCCTACTTTTTCTCGTGTATATTAATGACCTCCCTCTCTCATTGTCTTCTAACGCTCGTCTCTTTGCTAATGACTGCGTAGTCTACAGAGCCATATCTAACACAGATGACTTGCATAACCTACAGGCTGATCTAGACCGAATTAACGTTTGGTGTTCAAAGCGGAAAATGCTACTAAGGGCCGGTTGCACCAACGTCGCTTAGCGCAAAGCGGAGCTTAGCCGGGAACTTAAGCTAAGTTTCGGTTTCGTTCGGTTGCACCAAACTCGCTTATCGCTAAACCTAGCACTAAACTACGCTTAACTTAAGCGCCCAACATTGGGCGCTTTGCTTCTGGTTGTTTCTTAATCCTGGATTAAAAACATGGCGGCTGGTTTGTCACGGTCGACGCGGTGGACGAAATTGATTGTGCAAAGTGTTTTAGGCTACATCAGCGTGAAAGTTTCGACAAAATGACTTTCGATTGTGACAAGGATGCAAAATATTGTCGCGTGAAGTGTTGATCGACCCCTGTTTTCAAGTTGGCTCTCCACTTGCAGGGCGTGTTAGCCCTAACCGAGAAACGTACGGAGCTGTGGGGCTCACGTCTGTATTCCCGTTGGTTCTTCTGTCCACGAGCTTATTCGTATGTACCCTTCTAATTTTCGCATAGCTGTAACGTATTGTTATTTACCACCTTGTTTATTTACACTTGCAGCGCGTATCCTTCAATCTGATCAGCGCGTTGAATAGTGGCAGTACATGATCTCGGCGATCAGCTGATTGCCGACACCTCTGCCGTTTGCATTAAATTGCGGCGCTTTTAAGTAATAAAACAGCGAAAATTCAATTTCTTTCGTTTTCTGAGTTTTGAGACAATCTTCAGTGAATTTTCCTTATCTCGCGAGTAGAATCTTGGCTTCAGAAAACTGTATCGTTCCATAACTGTAACTTTTTGGTGATCGCATTTTTTTTATATACTTTGCTTTATATCTTTCATTCGTTTCCTGAGAACGAGATACTGTTGTTTCCGAGTTGTGCTCTGTGATGGTGTTTTCCCTTTACTTTTGTCGTTTGTTGTCATTGTGACGATGGTTGAGACTATATACCGGAACACGTTTTCAATAAAATTCAGTTGAAAGTTGCGCCTTGTTGTGTCCTCCGTAACTTTTTTGGTGATCGCGATTTTTTAGGAATATTTTGCTTTATATCTTTCATTCGCGGCGACGACAAATCGTAACGACTACTACGTTAGATTCGTTCATTGCTGTATCGGGGCAGGCTGGGGCAGGTGATGCGAAGAGACGACCGTTCTTATCGGCGCGATGTGATGTACTAGTGGGAGTTTTTTTTTTTTTTTTTCTGAACTCGACAGTGTGAAACTGAAGTCCGCTTGAGGCTGCAGCGGATGTTCAACGACGGTACAGTGCAGTTCTGTCACCTTGCTGATAGCAACGAGTACCGTCGATGCAAGGTCTCGTGACTTGACCTCTCGACGACTTCTATTCGACGATTTCCGGGCATTTTCGCAGCTGCCGTGGCGAGTTCGTCACTGTTTTGAACTTCATCGGTCTCAG